CAGGATAAATCTCCCCAGACTTACCCAATGGCTGTGAACATTCTAAACTAACACAAGTCTCATTAAGTGTCCAGTTTAAGGGTATTACACAGAAACACACCACAGGAACATGAATCAAATGTTTACTTTATTCATTTACAATAAATTCATAATGTACATAATTATGATTGAAGCTAAGGGCATACAATTGTCTAACAGAATACAGAACCATGACTCGTACCACTTGTAATTTATTTAATTTGGTTGAAGCACCCATTATAGGAGATTAAAGTAGGTGTCTTTAGACTCTCTACACCAATAAGTTTATTCTCACTTATTCTATGACAACTAAGCTGCAATTCACATTTCTTCTAATTTTGTATTCCATGAAAGAACCAAGCACATAAAAGTAGACTGTCACTTCGTGAAAGAAAAGGTCACAAGTGAAGTTGTCAATTCTTATGTGAGGTGATTAAATGTCATGAAGCTCCAGCTTGAGGGGGACTGTTAGAAGCTATATAATTTGTTATATGTAGTGGAAACAGGGCATAAGCAAGGTTTAAAATGTCAGTGTCGGTGGAAATGTCGGTCATCCAAATATAAGAAACATGTCAGAAATATCGGAAATATTGTAAAAAATGTAAAATATGGAATGATATTTTGTGAAATGATAAAAGAAGCATAGGCACACCCTTTTAAATCATTATCTTGTTCCAAATCATTAAACAGAGCTAAGAAACCAAGGTTATAGACGAAAGAAGATGTTCTGAAATTGCCCTATAAACTTTAAGATTTAGAGCTTCACGATAGAATGAGTTAAAGCAAAATTTAAACTCATAGAAAATGTAAAAAGTTGTAATAGATCAACCAAAGTGGTAAAATTGTAAAAATGTAAAATACTATCACTTGTACTACACATAGAAAATGTAAAAAGTTGAAATGAATATTGAGCTAGCTCAAAGTGGTAAACATGTAAGTTAGGCAGGAAATGACATTTACTCCACATACTTACAATATTGTCACCAACTTATGTTATAATACTATCACTTGTATTACACATAGTGCTGGTAGTGTTCACTAGGAAATGTGTTGATTCTAGTAAAATTTCATGTCACTACCCATGGAAGTGGAAATAGAAATATTAGGGAAATTAGGGACATTAAACCATGATTTATTTGCATAAGTGTCTTTTTCTATTCCTACATGGAAGAGCTTTATGATGACATAGAGCTCTATATGTAGTGGCTGTGCATAAGAAACAAAGAAGCCTATTAAATGCAACTTGAATGGTACAGCAAAAAGAATAAAAGCAAAATGGAAAAAGGACCAACACAGATTACATGTCATATAGGAATATAGGATAGCAAAGTGATGTCCCCAAGAAAATAAAGATTTAAATACAAGCAAGTAATGAACATATACCTGTGGTACTCCTATCAAGTACTTCACCAGTGCCTTGTAGACACCTGTTGCAGATCCAAGCTGGGCTAACTGTTGTCGTCTGGAAGTGAAATCATGCATTAGAAATCAAATTTTCCATTTTGTCATCCTATTCAGAGATTTCTCCATTAATGATAACTGAAAACAAGTAGTCAAACCTCTCCATTTGTTGTTTCCATAACAGAGCATATCGATCATGTAAACTTCCTCCAGAATTAATTAAAGCATTGACCTCAGCTTGTTTATTTCTCTCTGAACGCTCTTTTTGCTGTCTGATTATTGTACCACGAAAATCTTGAGGCATGTAAGTCATAACTGCAAATATTTCACAGATTCCCTGGTCAATCGTCAAGAGAATATCTCAGCACTTGCCTTAAGCACTAAGCACCCTAAAGAAGCTGTAATATATTAGAAATTTAGTCGCTACCTGAAAATAACTAAAACAATGAAAGTCAAAAGTGTTGGATGTTCTGTAATGGCAACAAATGCATTTTTAATATATGATATACTATTTTCATTATAAAGAATGGTTGTTTAGGAAGTATACACACAAAAACAATGTAAAGCAAAAGGAGTACCAAATGTGGAAATATATAGTGGCTTTTTGTATATTCTCAAGCCTGTTCATGGGCCGGGTAGCCCGACAGCCCAGCCCGACCCGATATTTTTCAGGCTTGGACAAAATTTCAGGGATGTGGGCTCGGGCTCGGTCTTTAAATACCGGGCCCGACTATTTTTCGGGCTGGGCTCGGGCTTTCTCAAATAAGCCCACCCCGATACTATTACATATAATAGAAATATACATTATTTATATATAATAAATATATAATATGTATTTATTAAATTACACCATAAATAGAACATTTTATGAGCAGATTGGGCTTGGGCTTGGGCTTGGGCCTGGACATTTTTTGTTAATAAAGAGGCAAAACCCGGACCAAACCCGAACCCAGCCCGGCCCGGCCCGTGAACAGGTCTAATATTCTCAATGTACAGTGTCTTATTGTACATGGGTGCTGGTTTTGATTAATGAAATTATACTATACCATTCCTCAAAAAGGAAGGCACAAAACGACAAAAAGGGGGAAGAGGGAGAAGTGGCACCTAAAGAGAGACAGGAGGAGGAATTAGAGAGAATATGGGAGAGGATCTGCACATTGTTGGAGGAGTATAAAGAGGAGGAGGAATTAGATCAAAGGGAGAGAGCAGTAAATTCTCAAGAGAAGGACTACTACAGAAGCTCCAACTTGGGGGGAGAGGTGGCTGAAGCTAGTGCATTAACTAGGAATGTGAGAGGTTTGGAAAGTGAAAGAAAGAGAAGGGCAATTAAAGACTTACTAAGAAGAGCGAAACTGGACATAGCGTTGATACAGGAAACCAAGTTGGCAGAATTGGATAGAAGATGGATTAGAAGTGTATGGAGATCAAGAGGAGTTTGTTGGACTTCGGCTCCTCCTTAGGGAGCCTCTGGAGGTCTAGTAACCTTATGGAGGGAGGATGTTGTAGAATCAGTGGAGGAGAGAATAGGAAGATTTTCTATGTCTTTAAAGGTCAGGAATGTGGGGGATGGCTTCACCTAGGTTCTAACCAATGTCTATGGGCCAAACACTTATAGAGAGAGGAATGAGATGTGGGAAGAATTATATGGCATACGAGGTCTATGGGAGGGTCCTTGGTGTCTTGGGGGGGATTTCAATGTAATTAGGTTTTGTAAGGAATCTAACAACTGTTAGATAGTGTATGCCCTTAGCTCCAATCAGAATGATGTACATTATGACATTTAATGTGTTGGTTCGGCTGTTTTTTAGTGTTTATGTTAGTCATATCTGTGTCTTAAGTTCTTAGTTATTGGGCCTAAACTTGTTTAATGTTTTATTTGTTTTATTTGTTTAGGTGTCCCATCACTAATCAGGGGCATTCTAGTCCATTCATGTAATATTATTTTATAATCATCTATATAAGATTGTAGGGCCGGCTGAAAAGTTTATGCCGCCTTTCTCAAATCTTCTTCTCTTCTTCTTCTTCTTCTTCTTCTTCTTCTTCTTCTTCTTCTTCTTCTTCTTCTTCTTCGACTGCTGTATTCCAGCAAACATGGTATCAGAGCACTAATCCATCTGTCCGATTACAGCCGCCACTTTTTCTGCTCATCCCTATTCCTTTCTTTCTCCTCTCTCTCTCTCCTATCTTGGTCGCTGTGAAGAAACCCTAGGGCAGACCATAGAACACAGTATCTAGGGTTTCCCTTGGCTGTAGGGCCCAAGGGGAGTTTGTTCCAGCAATCGATGCCCTACTAGACACCTTGCAGCAGATAGTAGCCATTCGGCTGCTAAGAGAGATCTGTGTGGAACAGATCTAGGTGGAAGGACTGACTTCGAAAGTCCTAGTACAGATCGTACGGGTGATCACAGTCTACTACAGCAGAAGTCAAAGCCCAGTCTAGTCCAGAAGAGTTCAGCACAGTACAGAGGTGGATTGTCCTTGGTTTCAGACCTGTTACAAGGGGTTCTCAGACCTGCAACAGCTTCGGTAAGACTAGGGTACTCTCCTACATAGAAAGGTTACAAGTGTTATGATCCTGTCACCAAGAAGAAATACGTCACAAAAGATGTGGTATTTTTTGAGTCTCACTCCTATTTTCATTCTTCCCATAATCCTCTTCAGGGTGAGACTAGTGGGATGGAAGAGGATTTTTCTTCCCCCTCCTTTTTTGTGCCTCTTTTTGCCTCGGGCCTTCCATCTTCTCCTCCTGATTCTCCTAGTTGTAGCATCTCGGGTGAACATAGTGAGGCTCCCATTGCACTTGTTACCGCTCTTGATGTTGCAGATGTTACTGAGGACACCAGTAAGCAACAGAAAGATATAAGAATCACCTACAACAGAAGGAAAAAAGACCCTCTAACTCATGGCAGCAATCAATCGGACTCGGATCAATMTGCYTCAGCAACTCCARGTAATCCTATCACTCGTACTTCTGATTTGGATCTCCCCATTGCTCTTCGTAAGTCTACCCGTTCTTGTACTATCCGACACCCCATTGCTGAATTTGTTTCTTACTCACGTTTATCTCCTCGTTATTATTCCTTTGTGTCTGCTCTCTCCTCTGTGCATGTTCCCACTAGGTACTCAGAGGTAGTGTCTGATCCAAGATGGAAAGAGGCTATGTATGATGAAATGAAAGCCTTAATGAAAGCAAGGACTTGGGAATTAGTGGATCTACCAGAAGGGAAGAACACTGTGGGATGCAAGTGGGTGTTCACTGTAAAGCATGGGAGGACGAGTCCATTGAAAGATACAAGGCCAGACTTATGGCAAAGGGGTTTACTCAAAAGGAAGGGATTGACTACAAAGAGACATTTGCTCCAGTCGCAAAGCTCAACACAATCCGGGTGTTATTGTCATTAGCTGCAAATTTCTCATGGGTGCTACATCAGTTGGATGTGAAAAACGCTTTTCTAAATGGTGATCTACGTGAAGAGGTATTCATGGATCCTCCACCAGGTTATGGCTTTGATGGGAAAGTATGTAAACTGAGGAAAGCTTTATATGGCCTTAAACAGTCTCCTCGGGCTTGGTTTGAGAGACTTTGTGGGGCCATGAAGAGAGTGGGATACACTCAAANAGTCTCCTCGGGCTTGGTTTGAGAGACTTTGTGGGGCCATGAAGAGAGTGGGATACACTCAAAGTGGTGCAGATCATACTTTGTTCATAAGGAAATAGAATAGCTGACTTACGGTACTAATCGTCTATGTGGATGATGTGGTGATTACAGGGGATGATCTAGAAGAGATAAAAATATTAAAGGAGTTCTTGGCTTCTGAGTTTGAGATCAAAGACTTGGGCCATCTGAGATACTTCCTTGGAATTGAAGTTGCTGGGTCACAAGAGGGCATTTATATATGTCAGTGGAAGTATGTCCTTGACCTTCTAGGGGAGACAGGTATGATAGGGTGTAGACC